ATGTTTTAGGAATCCTCACTTCACCGTATTTTTGAACAGTAATATTTACAAGTCTTTAGGATTACCATACATGTTAAAGATTCTTTAGTGGTGCTCTGTGGATGATTTCTCTACTTGTCCTGCTACATAAAAAACAAATGGCTTGTAAAAGTTAAAATCACCAAATTGCATCAGCAATAGAGAATGGATGGTAAATTCGCTGATTCTGTGAATGGGAGAAGAGGTAGAGCAGAGATGGAGCTTTTACAGCATTGAAGATAGAAGCACTTTAAGCTGTATGTACTCCCTAAATATGCTTTGCACCACTTAAAAAAGTGAAAATACTTTCTAGGAGCAAAAATACGCTGTTGACATTGATGATACTGATGCCTAATGGATCTAGCTGATTGAGAGATAAAAACAAATTAACTCTTACTTAGATTGTTTTATTACTTTTCTTTGATATGTGACTTTCTATCATATTTCTTCGCTGCCATCTTGACGTGGGTGCTGGCTTTCAGATGGTATCCAGTATTATGCTGCCTTGATATGTAATATAGGCCACTATAGTAAACGTTTGCAAAAGCAGATAGTTAGCACACCAACCAATGATACTTCAAGGACTGGTTCTAGAGCTGTGATTTGGTAGAATTATTGTTATCTAGTTGTTATTGTTTGCAACATTAAAAGGGGGAAAAAAGCAAGTACTCTGTGTAGTTGTGTGTGTTTAGTGTTGATTGTGTTTTGTGGCAGAAGTGCTGATGCAGGACCAGAAGAAAATCAGGTTTTGGTAGTCGGAGCTTCCCGCACCCCAGGCATGTGTATTGGGTCAGTATCCGTTGCATTTTATTGCTGGGTGGAAACAAGAAGAAATCTGAGTCATAGCAATAGACCAATCGGCCCTTCCTTTGTGGTGCCTGCAGCTTTGAGTGATGAAGGAGAACTAGGTGTGGTGGCCTCTACTCCACCCACCTCGGTGTGTAAGGTGTAAAGGGGAGTTTTGCTTGCTACCTTCTTGTCCCCTTTTGCATGACTTTAATACTGGAGGAATGCTACTTTGGGTCTTCATTTTTAATACTGTTGAATCACAGCTGTGTGTGATGCCTGTCTCTAATAAGTTTTCCAACTTGCATACATACGTGCTTATTCCTTCTGTTTTAAACTCTAAGTAGGGTACATGGAAGTTCTTTTAAGTACCCTTTATGGCTCCAGGAAATGTTAAAACAGTTGGGTAGACATTTTTACATATCTGTTCAGAAAACAGTTTTCCTAGATGCTTACTATTTCAGTTCGAAATTATAAACAGCACGTACAGAAAAAATGTTCACCCAGTACTGCAGGATCTGTTGGGTGAGAAACATGAGAAAAATAGAAAAGTAATTTTAGTGAATCGGATTTCATGCTACTTTTGAGCATGATCAGATTACAAGCCTTTCATTGAATATTTCTGCAAAAAACAGGGTAAAATATACAGAAATAATATTATGTATGCAAATCTAATTTGAAATTTAAAATTAACTAAAAGAAATGAAGTTGTCTGTACGTGTGGTGTTGTACTGTTAGTTACTATCCCTATGATCTTTTGCATATTTCTTTTTGAGGTACCATTACTGTTGTTTTTTTGTGTGGCGCATTTTTCCCCTTTGTCCCATGTGAGGTACGTGACTTACAAGAACAGACATTTAAGAATTTATCATCCACTAAAGCAAAATAGGTTCAGTCATTTTTTAACTTCAAGTAGGCTTAGGTAACTAAGGTGGTAGAATTTATAGATGCCAGGTGGGCAGATTGCAGAAGGAGAGCTCCATTACCACTAAAAGTGTCTTTTTATGTTTCTTTAAAATCAGGCAATGCTATCTTAAAATTAATCTGCCACTTGTGATGTAGCTACTGTTAAGAAAGCAGGACAGGTGTAAAATGATAACAGCTACTCAATTCATCACATAAGCCTGCCTGCCCTATGCTGCATGGATCACAAGCAGCAGAGCAGCAATCCTGGAAGCCTTCCTGAAAGGGAATTGATACAGTCTAGTCTTGTGTTTAGTAGAACATGAAGATTTTACAAGATTTTCCGAGGCAAACATGTAGTCTACCCAGACTTAAAATGAAGTGATTGCATGCATGTTCAGCATTTAGGTTTAGAAGTGAGGCCACAGTAATTGAAAAAAAAAAAAATTAATCCCAAGCAAGTCTCCTGCCTGAAGGTAGAGAGGAATAAAAGGTGTAATGTAAAAGAGTTACAAAAATAGAGTCCAGGTAGCTAGGTGCTGAAAGCTACATGTTATTTTTTAAGAGCAAATTTATGTACATTAGCAATCCAAAACTATGCAGGTAATCACAGCACAAATCCAGTGACTACATAGATTTGGGGGGGGGGGGGGGGGGGGGGTGTTAATAAAAAAAACTGCCATCAAACAAAGTGTAAGTAAGAGATGAAAAGACTGAAAATGTAAAATGCCAATATCCTTAAAATTAACACCTTGGCTTAGTTTTTGATTATGTTTCTTGAAGGGAAGGGTGAGGTATGGTGTAGGAAATTATAAAGCCACCAGTTTGCTTTCGAGAAAACTTTGTAGACTGTATGTAATGTGTGTATATTTTCAAATTGCAGTGCCCCTCCTTTTTATCCCAGTTCTGAAGTATTTAACACTAAATAAAACCAATTTCCACACTGACATCTGGTGGTAGTTATGGAATGCTGTGTTGCTTGAAATGCTATATATGGATATTTTGAAGGTCTAAGCATTAGATGCAAACCCCTCCAGCCCTTCTGCAGTGATCTTCTTGACTTTGTAAAATTTCAAATTGCGATTTTTAGACCTTTATGCAGATTCTTAAAAGGCAAAGAAAGTAATGGATAAATGAGTAATTCCTCAATATTAATCTCATTTTGCTCAGCTGATATAATGCATTAAAAAAGTACCTGGTCTGTGTGAAGGAAATGACACTTATGAGTTCCTTCTTTTCCTGAAGAATTCCTGTAAAAACACAGTGGCATAATTTTATCGTGGTCCTATTTTACTGGTGGTGTGTATATTTATATATGTGTTGTGTGGTGTGAGCTCAGGAGGACAACGTGACACACAGTCACATTGGGTAGCTCTATCCAGAGTCCAGAATCATCTGTCATGGTTGATAGTTCGACTCATCTCGGCTCCAGTCCCAATTATGCCTGGTGTATGTCAGTATAACAAACAGTAAGATCCATGAGAAAGCTTTGCAAGATTTCCACAGAGCTGGTTTCAAGGGCTTTGCTGTGTCCTTCACCCTGATAAGTTTCAGGTTCGTTTCAAGTTCGGTTTACAGAATATCTCAAATCACACAACCTGTAAGAGCAGCCTGATCACAAAAAGTAAAGTGCTCAGTTTTATTGTGCCACAGCTCTGTGAATTAATGTAATATTCATTCCTCATCATATGTACCATGTCACATAGCCTTTTTGCACATGCATATTAGGATGGTACCTGTAGAGTAAGCTGCTTATAAAAATAGATCTGTATTTCCTTCACAGTTGATAAAAACTCGAGTCCCGTATTCTTTATTTAGTTCTGGCTCAGCCAAGCTCCTGTACACTCAGCAGACAGATTTTTATGAAGTTGCTGAATTATGTAGCTGTTCCTTAAATTCATTTTATGTGTGTAAAATTGAGCTAAGTCCTGCTTCCCATTGCTAGAGTAACTGCAGTTATTGGGTGGTCCTAATGCTACAAAGTTTAGCTTCAAGTACAGCTTTTTGTTGTTTTCTTTTTCTGTGAAATTTCTGTGTGAACTCAAATTAGCCCATTAAGAAAAGTCAGTTAAATAATTTATCTGGGCACATAGATAAGAATGTTTCACATTGAAGTAGCTGTTTATTCAGATAAATGGTAAACAGTTCAAGTGTTTGTAGTCGGTATTAGATCGTTTAATATAGTAGAAAATTCAGAAAATTCAGTATAATCAGTGATGAGTAAAGAGGGTCATTGAAGTCCCAAAAGACTGTGAATTACTCATTAATCTTTTAGGCAAAATAGCTTTTATAAATAGTGCTAATTGATCTGATAAATCTCAAATGATATTGGAAAAGAAATTAAATATATATTGTTTTAATATCTGTAATGCACAATTGCTGAAAACTTATAGGAATTCTATTTTTTGTGGCTTCAGGTTAGCCTCAATATGTTGTCTGTGTATATTAACAAGGACTGTAGAATCAATGTCAGTTATTTTGAACTTGTGTTTGTTTTTTTTAATTTGAGCTTGTTGCTTACTATATTTTTGCACGCTTCTGCATATTTATTGGGCCTTTTCTATTTATCTCTCTTCCTATTAACAGGTATTATTGAGACTGCAGATCTCCTAGATCGTGAGACTACTTCACACTACTGGTTAACTGTTTATGCAGCAGACCAAGGCGTTGTGCCTTTATCATCTTTCATTGAAATCTACATAGAAGTTGGGGATGTTAATGATAATGCTCCTCAGACCACAGAACCAGTTTATTACCCAGAGGTCATGGAAAACTCACCTAAAGATGTATCAGTCGTTCAGATTGAAGCGTTTGATCCAGATTCTAGCTCAAGTGAAAAGTTAACCTACAAGATTACAAGTGGAAATCCACAGGGTTTCTTTTCAATAAACCCCAAAACTGGTAAGTGCAGTACCGTTATTTATTTTACATCTGACTGAATCAACATATTTGCATAAATACATAAACCAGGCAAAATCAAGATCTTTGGTTTAACATTGTAACCATGCTTTTCATGTTCGTTAACCTGGTATCTTGGTCTGTGTCAATATTAGTAAGTTACATCAACAAGCAGAAGAGGATTTGGGAGTGAAGGAGTTGGTTCAAAGTACTTGATATCCAGATGGTGCATATTTTGGGAAGGTTTACTTCAGGGTAGCTCCCCTCTATACTAGCCAATACCTGTTTGCTTTTGTAGTGCAGCAAAAATACATATTTTAGCTTAGTTTCATCCCAGCTGTTTTTAGCAGTCGTAGCTTTCCAGTTTTCACACCTAAGTTTTTTTTGTCAGGCTGTTTTTCCAGGTAGTCAGTCTAAGGCCATTTATTAACAGGCCATGTGTTAACTATAAACTCACTTGTCCCACAGTCATAAGGGACCATCTTTGACAGTAACTATTGCTGTTGTAAGAAATAGAAAATCTGGAAGATAATTTGCAGGTAATGGAAACAAAGTCTGAGTTCAGAGGTTGTTTGGAAAGCTTCACAAAAAACATTTAACAGGAAAGTACAAATACAAGAAACAAATAACCTTTTAGTAACTGTGAATTACAAATACAGAAATGTGTATAGGGCAGAGAAAGGAAACAAAATAATCAGTATTAACTGAAGCTACACAGTGATGTTAAAGACAATGTAAAGGTTGCCTACCATCCCTTGCTTCTGAATGAGCATGGATTTACAAATAACATGGATGTACAGTACACATGCTGGATGTTTTTATACACAGATCTTTCCTAACAGTAAAGAAAGATTTGGTTTTAATTAAATAATATTTTGCTGGGTTGGGCACAGAGTAGTTTTTCATATGTTCCATCTAGGAACTATTTCACATTACAAATTAGGGGAGAATCTTCCAATTCACTCAGCCTGAAATTTCTTCTTAGGATCCAGAGATTTTTAGACTAGAAGTGTAGAGAGCGACTTTAATCTGTAGCAACCCCAGTAATTAGAAGAGAGCAATAGAAGCCTTATTCATTTAGCTCTTGCTCATTCATGGGGGAAATTTCGGGAGATTTAAAAGACCAAAAATTGGGTGAAAAAATATGTTTTGAAGGCTGGGTTGGCACTGTGGCCTTCATTCTGTTTCATGGTTATTTCAGCTCAGGGTATGAAAGACTTGTGTGCTGCAGCAGTTCTAATTGCTGTGTCAGCAAAGCTTTGAGTGCAAACACAGGTATGTTTATTCAGGTTATTTCTGACAATAGCTTCTTTGTCAGCATGTGCTGCATCTGCTTATGAAGACATTGCCAAGAGGGACATACTAAGTCACTATAGCAGCAGCAGATCTTTAGCATAGTTAAAGCCTGTATCTAAATACAGTATTTACAGAAGCATTGCTTTTAGAACAAAGGCAACCTAAGTAGTAAGATAAGAAATATTCAACCACAGAATCTTCTAAAGTGAACGCAGAAAACTCAGGTGTTTGTGTGTGTGCTTTATTTCTATTTGTCTTTCTCTGCTTAACATGATGCAAAAGGAAAATTTTTCTACTCCCTAGCTCTTTGTGGTTTTGAAAAGTACTGTTACTTCTTTACTGCTACTTCCATATAGTCATCTCAATCAGTGATATTTATAAAAATGGCAGTAAAATTGCCTGTAACTTAGGTAGAAAGAATAGAGTGACTGCAATGCTCAAATTGCGAGTTAACATAAATTCTGCCTACATTCATGTAGTCTTTACTGTATAATTGACCATCTAGTTTTGGTTGCTGGTTTTGGGGGGGGTTGGTTTTTTTGTTTGTTTGTTTGTTTTTTTGTCTTTTTTTGTAGCTCACTTTCTCTTGCTCCTTTTTTCCAGTCCTTTCCTACTCCTCTCTGCCGTATGATTATGCAGCATTTTCCAAACTTTGTTTTAAAAAGGACACTTGCATGCTTCCCTTATATAAGTTTTGAAATGGATAAACATGTTTATTTCTATTTAATGGATAGAAAAATTAGGGCAGCAGAGATTGTGACCTGTCTTTGGAGCTTGTAGTTTTCCACATCAGTAGCTTACTGACAATCTAATTTATGTTACAAAGGGAACTTGAGAAAGCTCAACACACTAAATGGTAAAGTGATAAGGAACACTTAATATAAAGCTAATAAAGATTTTCTGTCAAGAGAGTTTCTTACCTGACTTTGTTGAAGCATGCATACCGAAGCAGTGTGGTCTGGAGTCCTTCTCAGCTCTGTGCTAAAGGAGAAGAAAAAAAAAAAATCAAAATACGAGCACTGAGAAGAAAATAATCTCCCTCTTGCTTTACATTCAACAGAAATTATTTTTGTTAATATAGTTAAAATCGCTGGAATAGGTAAACTCATTTGGTCTCTATTGCTGTTAAAATTATAGTGCTAGATAGATAAAATAAAGAAGAGGGGAAGAGAAGACATAAACAGAGAAGGGAAATCTCTTTGGTGGGTTTCTGCTGTGTTCACAGAGTGCACTCAAGTAAGTTGAATGGGTATTAAATAGCTAGCTTATGCATACTGTCTTTCTATTAACAGAGACACTGACACTGGATTTCATGTTATCTAATGGGCTGCCTTGTTTTTCCTCTATATGTTCAGTTTGAAACTGACAGTCTGTGGTAGGCACTAACCTGGTGATCGAGATGAGTTTTGACTGAGGTTATCACGTTCATAACTTCTCAAGTCTCTCTTTTGCATATTAGAAATCAAATATGTTTAACCTGAATGAATCCTGTCTTTGGTGAAAGCTCTTTCACTAGGATTAGGGTGTTAAGGTTTGAAAAGTCGCTTTAAAAGACACTAATTATTGTTGCAGTTAAAACACAGTATATTTTATCACCCTCAATTAATTAAAGGAGGCTCAGCTGAAGAATGCATTTGACTAGAATTAGTGAAATCAAATCCCATCTTGTTTGCTTATGCAGGTATGTTACCCTTGTTACACCTTGTGAGACACTAAGGTTGAGACACAAAGGAAGAGAAACCTTCACAGGGCCCCAGGTTTCCCTTCCAGCCAAAGGGGAGGTGGGTCTGGAATAAGGATCAAGTCTTTAACTGTATCCCATTGTAACATTAAAAGTGACAGTAAGAGTTAAGCACCTGTTATGTTGGTTACTTTGGGCTGCTGTGCAGCACCAAAGGCAAATTGAGGACAGTAAAGGCATTCAGTAGAGTCAAGGCAAGGCTAGTGTTGGGATTCTTAAAATATGTGGTGAGCCTTAAACATATGTTTTAGCTGACAATAGAATCATAGGATCAGCTAGGTTGGAAAAGACCTTTAAGATCATCAAGTCCAACCATTACCTGTGGACTGCGAGGTCCACCACTAAAGCATGTCACTGGGGGGGCCTTATCTCTGCAGTTTTTTAACACTTCCAGGGATGGTGATTCCACCACTGTCTTGGGCATCCTGTTCTAATGCCTGATCATCCTCTCTGAAGAAATTTTCCGTGACATCCAGTCTAAACCTCCCCTGGTGCAGCTTGAGGCCATTATCTCTTGTCCTATTGCTTGTTACTTGGGAGAAGAGACCAACACCACCCCCCCCCCCCAACCTCCCGTCAGGTAGTTGTAGAGAGCAATAAGGTCCCCCTGTGGGCTTTCTCCTATCCAGACAAAACAACCCCAGTTCCTCATGAGACTTATTCTCCAGGTCCTTCACCAGCTTCGTTGCACTTTTCTGGACCCTCTCCAGCACCTTAATGTCTCTCTTACAGTCAGGGGCCCAGAACTGAACAAAGCATTTGAGGTGAAGACTCACAAGTGCCCAGTACAGGGGGATGATCAGTGCCTTGGCCCTGCTGGTTATGCTATTGCTTATACAGGCCAGGATGCTGTTGGCCTTCTTGGCCACCTGGGCACAAGCTGGCTTATGTTCAACGGCTGTTAGTCAGCACCCCCCAGGTCCTTTTCCGCTGAGCAGCTTTTCAGCCACTCTTCCCCATGCCAGACAATATGTTACTGTCTTCTCTGCAGGTCAAAGATCCATCTTTTTCTGAGTCTTTATGGAATTTAACACTATGGTGTTGTGGTCCCATGGCTACAACTGCATGTATAATACTAATACAGAATATAAATAGAAATAATCTAAATGTAACCTATGCCAAGTAAAACATTGCTTTCTGTTCTCTGAAGTGTTTCATTTCTAGAATTTTATAGGCTCCTGACTAAGATGTCTCTGTCTGTGCGATAATCCTGAATATTTAGATGGTGAAACTGGCTGACATGGACCTATGTAGGATATAGTTCATCTTTCACAGAAAGAAGCAATTTCTTTTCATGCCAAGAACTATTGATTGACTGATCTGTTTCTTAAAAATGTTACTAGGTATAATAGTATCTATGTGCTTCAGCTTCTGACTATGCCTTTCAGTAAATCTTCATCAGCACTTGAAAACATATTTCTTGTTTGAAGAAATTATAAAATAACTTAGTTAAAGAAACATTGCTAAGGTTTTTTTGCATGGAGAAATGCTGCTTCACTTTTTGGAGCAGGATATATAACACAGTACTTCACAGGACATTTTTGTAAACTTTTTGGATCTACCTGGCCTTTCATTAAAGCAAATAAAGTATAATTTCATTTACTTTTGGAGTTTCCATGAATAAAAAAAAAGCTGCTGTATACATGACCTAGCCAGGTGGAATAAAAACAGTTGTCATTATTTACAGGAAAGAATTAAAGCAAAGACTAATTGCACAACTTTCATGGTCAGCTTGGACACAACTGTAGAGCAATATGTAAATTAACTTTAACTACTTTATATCTGCTTAACTTCTTTCAACATAGCTTTTAATTAAATACAGAAGTAATTAACAAAATGGTAGAGATGCAAGGCATCTTAATGTTTAGATGGAAGGAGTTGGAGTTGGCAGGATTTCATAGCTATTCAGAACACATCCTGCTTCTCTATGGTTAATCTCGCTACTTAACCCCAGAGCTGTTGCACTGAGGATAAGAAATTATTTGTGCTTTAGCAACTCTCATGTAAAGCAAAAGATAATATGGCAGGAATCAAGTTCTGGGTTTGTGCTTTGGAGCTCCCAATGCGCAATTTATTTTTTTGCTGGTATGTATAATAGAAAGTTTAGTAATATTTCACTGCTTCCTATGGGTGTGGTTTATTTGTTCATGAGTTGTTCAGGTATTTTAATTTTAAATTACCTTGTAACAAGGTCAAAGACTTTGGAAACTAATTATCAAAATACTCATAGTTGTTAGTTTCCATATTTCATTGGTGGCATTTGGATATGTTTTGTCTAAGAAAATATTGATGGACAAAAAATGGACTCTTTAGGGAATGACTAATGAGTTGTTTTACTTAAGTCAGTGATTGAACTCCAAGCTAGTTGTAGATCTGAAAAGTTTTGTCACTGATGTAAACTGTGGTTGTATTTACAAAATACAGTTTACTGTTGTACTGTTTGAATTAAATTCCTTTTTTTTAACATTAACGCAATTGTTTTGAGTGTACAAATTACCCCTCCCCTCATCATTTATTCTTTTATTTGATAATATCTTTATTTGCTTTATTGCTTTTGAAGAGGAATGTTGGAAACATGACAGTTGACAGGAGGATTGCAGTAATTTTTAGAGAAAGTGGAAGAGGTACTTAGTATGGCATCTACTAATAACAGCTGATAGTACCACTATATAGAAGTGCACATTTATGAATTACGATTATATAATTTCTCATCTATATTGGACTAACCATTTAGAAGTGGATCTGTTAGTGCTTATTCAAGAGAGTTATTAATTTTACTAAGAGATTTTTCAGTCAAAACATGTAATTTCATTCTGTCTGAGACAGGAGAGTGGGACATGCATTAAATAGTGCTTTTTGTTGCACACAGCAAGAATCGTGAAGGGTAGTATGCAAACTAGCTCTCTGACCAAAAGTGCATGCTTAAAGTTCCCCAGAGTTCCATAGTCAACAAAATTATTTTTCTTTCAGTTTCCTATGTTTTGTAGTTTTCTTCTATTTTTATTCTTTAAATTATGGGATTGCAGGCCTCATGTGAAATGGGAAGAAAGGTATTCACCTTTAACTGACCAACAATAATGGCTCAATGAGTCATGTGCAAAATATGGAAATTTAAGAGCTGAGGAGAATAACCTTAATTGCTGCAGAACTAGAGCCATTGAATGAACCCTTTCTAAGCAAAAGGAGCTTGCTGAAGTCCCCTGTGCTCTGTATCAGTTTCCATATGGATGGAATAGTTTTGCCATGCCACAATTTTAAAATACAGCTGCTACTCAATGGTACAGGCTTGGTATGATTATATCTCAGATTGCTGAGTTATGGTATCTGAAAGAAGCTTATACTACCTTGTAAGTGGCAGTATGTGCATTAGAATGGCAAAACCTGTATTTGCATAATGAACAGAGTTCTGGTTCTTCTTAGCGAACAAGAAACCAGAATCCTAACCAGCTATGCATATAGGGTGAGGGAAGACCAGTGTACTTTTTTTTCTTTTACTACCTTGCCCATGTGTTTAGGCAAGAAATAATTTCTGATCTTTTTACAAAATGGGTATGTTTGTTTCCACTCCCTTAGGACTTCTGGTACATTTATTGTACTGACCAGATTTGGCTTAGGGAAAGAATTTGAGTTGGGTAGCAAACAACATTTTCCCCAGAAGCCATGCCTTACTTCAGAAATTTAAGACAGTAATAGCAAATGAGGCAGGGGGTTACTTGACGTTGCTCCATATAACAATTTTGAGTCAGATTTGCAGAAATGCTGATTGAAAAAGTATAGCTTTCTATGCATTTAATGCAACTTGATATGAAAATAACATATACTTCCAAAACCTGAACTTGTGTTCATAACCAGGAGAATGACAAAATTAATTTTGAGTGTTGATTTCCCCATACTTCAGTTTTGCAAGTATTAAATAGAAATAAAAATAGAAATAATTGCTTGACCTAATTGCTTATAAGTGTTCTGAAGATATATTCATGCACATTTAAGCAGCAGTTGGGTATTATCATGAGAATGCCATAGACATTCCTTTGAGGAAATTAGTAATCCTCTGGTGTAGGAGTTAGGCATTTATATAAGGCCTTTCTTACATAGGGGATTCCAGCAGAAACACTGAGTAATTACATATTTCAGAACATACTATATCGGGTGCTTCCAGTGACTCCCGATTCTGTGCATCTTGATGCAGACATGGCAAAACAGTCACGATGATTTAGCAGTCCTGATGCTGGAGTTTTTTAGTTTGAGTGACAGTCTGAAAATGTGTTTGTCTAGGATTTAATATTATCTGACATAACTTTTGCTCTTATTGTCTTTTCTTTTTTTAATTTTCCCCTATGCTTCTTTACTATCTCAAGTTTTTTGAAAGTACTTATGTTAAATAGATCCTATGCCAATTTAGGATTGCGGTAGTCTGTTTCATAAATTATATACCATGCTTCAAACCACGCATTACAAATTAACACCAGCCTTCAGATTAAGTGCTGACTTAAAGACGTTTCTGTATGTACAAACCCAAAATAGAATGCTAGTTCAATATAAAAAGTTTGTTCTATCGAAGAACAGGATTTAAATTCTAGCAGCGCTGAGTCCGTGGCTCTCACTGTCTGTTGGGCCCGGGTAATTATTACAGCTTTGTGAGGTTATAAAATGCTAATGGCTCATGGTCAAACTGTCTACATCATATGATTTTATCATTTTACACTGTTTGTAACCTTTAAAGCAGTATCTTTGTCTGTCTGATTTGGAGACTGAAGTGAAAGAGGAAATGGGTACAGCTGCAAACAACTTCCATGGGTTTCCGATAACACTGGAGAATTACTTAGTGAGGAAATGAAGGGCCAGTGACCGCACAGTAGTATTGGCTTCATTTGAACAAAGGAAATCTTTGTTGTTTAACTGCTTGTGGGTTTTAGTCCCAATTGATGTAATATTTTAGAACTTGAATAAAACCAGTATTGCCACATTACACACTAATGTGATTTAAAGTTAAATAAAGACCGAAACACTGAAGTTGTTCTTGTTACTTCTGTAGCTGGCAGACAATGCCAGGCTCAACTATTGTTCATTCATGTCACTCAACTCGAAGCATATATAGCAGCATCCATGTGCCCAACTGTTTACCTGTCACATGCAGAGAAAATATTTGATTACACTGTCTCTGGAACAGTTTGTTTTTTTTTTTCTTAACCTTTACTAAAAATGTGACCGGAATTAACCCAGGTGTTTGTTGATCTCCTGCAACCACAGAGGATTACATGAGTAGATGAAAGTTTACACAGATATGTATTTGGAAAGAAAGCTTAATTCTGCACACGGTACTTTTATTTTCCTTTTTAAATGACGTTTAAAGCACTTGAAGTGCAGTTTGACAAGTATTTTTCTTTTGGTAGTTTTTTGGAACTGGGAAAACAAGTTCATGTCTGCAAAATTTCTGACATCTTCATATCTGCTTTACAATATTGAAGGATTTAGCACTTGAATATAGAAGATTTGCTGTAGTATAGGCAGCTATTTTAAAGAACTATTTCCAAGCATTCATGTAGAGATCACTTTTAGGTGGTGGTGTTGGGGCTTGCTTATTTATTTATTCTTTTACATGTCTGGAAAAAGAGAAATAGTAGGAGGTAGAAAATAAATGGGAAGCACAGCAGTCCTTTGTTTCTCCTTTTTCTGTCCTTGAACTGCATAAAAACTTAAGGTCATGCTCTGCATGATCTGTGTTGTAATGCAGGAGTTTAAAAGAAAGTTACGGTTCTCTTTCCATTTTCCCATATTCTGATGCAGAAATGATGATGGTGCCAGACTCCCTCTGTAGCGTATGTTTTTTTGAGCTGGAGTATATAATGTGAAGTGGTAATTCTAGCCAGGGAAGAGAT